TCATAAATTAGCTTATAAAAAAAGGAATTAGGTTACATTATTAGAGTTAGTAGAGAGAATCATGAATCAAACTTAGGGATTTTGTGTGGCATCTATATTTAAGCGAGTTGGGTTGTACAACCTATTGATCGCAGTATGGATGTAATGATAAAACAACTCGGCGGGTGCATTATGTGAAATCGGTCGCGATTTCACATAATGCTCCCGCCGAGTTGTTTTATTTTAATCCTTCTGATGAAAAACAATCGTTAAGTAACTACAGACCTAGATAATAAGATATCTGTGCTATTTGCCCATCTTACGTGTCGGTTAACATTATACAAAAAATGGAGTCCGTACCTAACATATTTTTATTTTTATGTTTAATTAAGTAGACAGTTTTAAACCCATATGCTGTTGTCATCATTATTATTGTAATAATTTACTGAAAAAGTCTAAAGTCTCTAACCCAATAGCATAGAGTGGCCTTACTGCACCAGAGTTGCAGATCCTTTTTTCTCTATTATTACTATTTAATTTCATAATAAACTGGAATTATAGCAGTATTTTATTTGGGGTAGGTAGTTTATTTATTATTATTAATAATTTTACTGTCACACTAACTTCAATTTGTCCAATAAACTTGTCTACTAAAATGACAAAAACGAGTAATAGATACCTACCTAAATTCAAATCTCAAAGTTATCGTTTGATTAATACCGATATTTAAAATCTTTTGGTGGCAGAGTCTTGTAATTAAATTTGTTATGTTGATTAAGACTTTGTGAGTGCCTGGGGCTGTGGATTAGATATATTTATTCTAGGTATCACTTTGTATAGGCACAAAACCATTAATTCATGAGGACCTTTATATATATTACAAAACTACAGAGATAGATCATATAGTACATATAGATATAGGACGTCAAAACTAGGAACAATTTTGTCAATGAACAGAAAAATTTATCATATTATAAATTAACTTTAAATAACTAAAACTAAAAACGTGCAATCACGTAATTGGTTTTAGTTATTTAAATTTAATTATTCTGAACGTAGTTGAGCAGGTACCTATATGATACATGTTTAATTCTGTCTCTTTTATACTGTAAAAGTATTCGCAATATTTTAGATTTTTCATCAATATCTTTAGTTGTTGATACTACACGACTCCAACTTTTTCCATGATCTGCTTAATATACCCTTAACCTTCCCCTTGCCCTCTATTCTTCTATTTTTTCTTCGATAATGATATTCTTAAATTCGTAATGTCGTATCAAGTGCCGTATTTTCTTGTCTGTTCTCAATAATATTTAGGTATGATGTGTCTCTTTTCCTATAGATATATCTCCTTTGCAGTACTCCTTCATTTCTTATTTTATATTTCAAACTATGTGTAGGTACTTAGCTATATCGACGTAGCTGATTGTCTTAACTTAGGTACTAACCAATCAATGAATGCATAGCCTGCATCCATATATCCATTCCTGAGATAAACGGAATGCCTGGTACTAAAGCTAGAAATATCATACCTATAGATATGTTCCTTGTTTATATGCTCATACGAGCACGCCAGTAAGGGTTTTTACACAAACAAAGTCACTATAAACAACTGGGCATGGTTAATATTGTGTAGGTGGCAAAAAAGCATAGATACGGCCCATCTGATGGTAAACGGTTACCATGGCCTATCGACACCTGAAACACCAGGGGTGTCACGTGCGTGTCGCCGACCCCTAAGAAATCTTAATATATCCTATATAGTTGAATATAAGTGTACCTATTAAATAGAACAATATGTAACTCTACTTATTGTCAGTTCATCTTATTTATCTTTACATATAATAAAATCGTGACTAGGCGAAAACTGTTTACCTATCTGTTTCCGTGTTAAGGTTTCACGTAATAAAGGCTCTTTGAATTAGAATGAGATTTTCCCAAAATATGTTATAAAATATTGCCTAATATATAATATATATTGGCTAAAGAATGCTTGAAACATACTCCATTAATTTTGTGAATATTTTCAAAACAAATATTATTTAAAATATCTATAGCTGACGTTGTATTGAAGTTATATAATATTTATTATTGCAATTGTATTATCATCTATATAGCGATCTATAATTAATTATAGCACACGCCTATAAAGTCGGCATCATAAGTTAATAAATATTATTTTTAACATTCAGTATTAATGCAAATAGTAAAATTATCTATGAATATGTTTGAGGAAAAATTACATATACAATAAGAAATAAATGTCGTAAACAAAGCGGGCTACGAATCGGCTACGGTTTCCCGTAGCGCTATTGTCTCCGCTACGAACGGGTAAATATTTCCTGTAATTTCGTTATTCCACGAAACACTGCTTTCTGTATAAAACACAAAGCACAAGCCGTGGAGATAGTAAACAAAATGGCGTATTTAAATGGGCGGCGACGACATTGTTCGAACGCCACGCTATACAGATACGCGCGCTGGCCCGCTCACACTCACAGACGGTCCGCGCCACAGAGCTCCGTGCCCCAGCCTCTTTATTTTCATTTCTCATTCATGACCAGAACAATGCGCTAAGATTTACTCCTCCAAATTCAAATCTCATGCTTATCGCAATAATCACAAAGATCAATTTACACCACCAAGGCGTGTGGGCGAACGATATCACAGCCACTCTGTACCGACATGTGAAACTGTTGCACATTATTCTATCTTTGTCCCCCAAAGAGAGGGAGGGCTATTTTTATGTTGGCGTCCCGTTTTCGCTCGCCTCCTGAGAAGTAATGTGTTGTTGCGTGTTGTGATATCGCTAAAATAACAGGGAAGCACTCGCTACGAAGTTGTCATTTGTAACGGTTTCGCTAAGTAACGACAGCAAAACAAACATTACTCTGGGGGTTTGTTGGAAAATATTTTTTAAGGATGTTACTGCATATTTATTGTTTCAACATTACAAAGTTTGTACTTTACTTAATCTCTTAGTTTATCGTTTTTCTCCAAGATAATGTTTTTTTGTAATACCATAGTATCATAGACCAATTTCAGAATAACCAACTACCAATAACCATAGATTAAGTTAGATTACCAAATATGTATGTATATATTTAGGTACTATTTTTTTTTATATTAGTACCTTTATTATTTTAACCTGGGAATTATCCATGATATTTTTTTTAATGACATATAACGTGCTCGTTCACTTGGACATGTCAATGCCTCCAATCCGAAGATCGTAACTTTTTATTCTTTTTAAAATTATACTGATTTTGTCCGCGTCTTAAATTGATATCGAAACACGTTTCCCTGGTGTACGAAATTATACGCCCCACCAGTACCAAGGCAACATAAATTTCAAGGACGTATTCGTATGTCTTTAGACGTAGGTTCCACTCGATTAACAGATTAAATAAATAGACTTTTCAATTTGTAAATTATTACTTCAGGAAATTACCATAAACAGATGTAAATTATTACCTAAATTGCTTACTACTTTGATTGATCGATTGAAGTGACACATTCAAATGCTAGACAAGTTATACAAAGCCTTCTAATCCCAAATTAACTAGGGCTGGTTACTGAGCAACTAGATGCCTTACTTATATACATTTTTGTGTAGTATATACTTTAATAAATAGATATATAAAAACACCGTAGTCACAGTCATTAATACATTATTTTTATTGTACGGAAGCCGAATTCGGGACCATCAGAAGTAAGGTCGTATTCTTAACCGCTAGATATCCGACCGACTATGTCCAAGGAGAAATGTCCTATCGCCGCCAGACAGGCACAGTCTTATCCACCTTACCTATAATCCCGACAATGTATACTGTCAGCAAACCTTCGGTTTCTCCCGTTCTATCCCTACCTCGATATCACAGCAACATATGGAATGGTGTAATCCCTAGATTAACATAAAGTAAAAGAATGAGTATCTCAATGTAATAAATTTATTAGAACATTACAAATTATCGACGGTCTTGATGGTCTAGCGGTTTAACACCGCCTTACTTTCCATGGTTGCGGGTTAGACGATCTCGCACGACGCAAATATTTGTATTCAAAAGTATTAAGTTTTAAGTAAGTATATTTTTTTGTATTGGTCTGAGTTTTTTTATATCTATTATGTATTTTAAAAAATGTAGTTAAGTATTTCTTTCAGTTGTCTCATAACGCAAGTGTTGATTAGCTTGAGACTAAAAGGTGTTGTGAAAATTATCCTTATTATGGCTTACCTATTATTATTGTCATCACTTGGTTATTTTAAGTTGTTGTTGACACTTAAATGCGATGCTTAGGAACAAACAATAATAATTACTTGCAAAATAATCCTACATAGGTATTATCTTATATACCTTCTACACATTCAGGAATAATTATCCTTTCTAATTATGAAATTCGGACATTTACTCTTCATAGGGAAATATAGGTGAGTAGGTATACACTAATATTTCCCTAGGGAATTTATAACATAATTTAAATAAATAGATAACAACATAATTTTGCGGTAAACTGATTAGTTAAGATTTAATTGATTGTACCTACTATAATTATTAAGTATAATGATTAAAATATTGTAAATATTCAGAAATAAAAGAAATTTCATATAGGTAGGTATGTAATTCAGTACCTAATAAAATAATTACCTACCACTATCATGATAAAAAAGTATTATTAATTAACAGTGTCTACAGAGGAACTATAATAAGTACCTACTTATAAGATTGTTGTGATGGCTATAGTAATTAACTGGCTGATTCTTGTAAACAAAGTCAAAAGTTATAGGTGTAATTTATAACAACATCTTAAAAATTTAAGCATTTTTGCTATCTGTATCCGTAGCCTCAAGGCAGGGCGCATGGAGTTGCAAAGCCGCTGGAGTGGGGCGTCGCCAAACAAAAACATGTATACAAGGAGCGACTCCGTCACGATTGGCTACAGCGAGCGCAGGCCCCCGCCCTCGGAGCGCCCGCCACGCCGCGGGCCGAGCCGGCCGCCGAGCGCACTCCATGCCACGCTCTCCACTAGTCAACATGTGTAGTGGAGCCGAGGGTGGACCCTGGCCTCTCGGGAAGGACGCGCCGACCGTCGCCGCGGCTGCAATCGACCACTACCGTCTGCAACTTTACAATTACGCCGTCGCTGAGAGACTTCGCCTCTACCCACCAACCGTTGCACCATGTTACGCGCCTTACGGACCGCGACTCGCACTCTCCATGTCGCTACTGCAACAGCGAGTGATGCAGCCAGAAGAACCGAAGCCCCAGCACAGTTATATAGGTCTCATCGCTATGGCAATTCTAAGCTCGCCGGAACGAAAACTAGTGTTATCTGATATTTATCAACATATCCTGGATAATTACCCGTATTTCCGTAGCCGTGGTCCCGGATGGAGAAATTCGATACGACATAATCTATCCCTAAACGACTGTTTCGTAAAAGCTGGCAGATCGGCTAACGGAAAAGGACATTACTGGGCAATACATCCAGCAAATATTGAAGACTTTAGGAAAGGAGACTTCAGAAGACGTAAGGCTCAAAGGAAAGTGAGGAAACACATGGGGTTAGCGGTGGATGATGACGGTGAAGATTCTCCGTCACCACCGCCACAATCGCCACCACCTACTGCGTTGCCCTTACCTTTCTGGGGCACAGGCAGGCTTCCTAGCAGTGGACAGGCGAGGAAGAGGCAATTCGACGTCGCATCACTTCTTGCTCCGGACGATGTGCCAGTTAAACTACAAAGGCGGGATAGTAGCTGCGAGGAGGAACCAGAAGAGGATATAGATGTGGTTGCAAGTGATCAAGAGGACCGTGCGACGGACGAAGAGACCCGGGTGCCGGTGACGCCCGCGGCTCAGTACCCGCTGCTCGGCGGATGGTGGCCTGCGCTGGACCCAGCGCTGCTGCAGCAACTGCGTCGGCAGTCCACACCGGCGACGCCCGCCCCTTCCAGCCCCACAGACCAACAACATCCCCCGGATACCTAGACTGTGAATAAAAATAGTGCTATACGATATTGTGAATACTCAGATATGTAAATATGCCGACGGATGTGTTTTGCCATGTGGTATACTTTCTGTTTTTTCTTTTTTTTTAATACTAGAATATTATTTATCTATATCTAACTTACCTATTATAAATAATTCTGCGTCCGGACAATGATTTATTTTATCTCCGCGCTTTTTTCATTCGTTCCTTTTTTGCTGATCTCCATTTCTGTCTCTATTTTTATTTCCAACTGATGTCTATATTTTGTAAATAATTGTAAATGAGTTGTAAAAGTGATATTAATATACTAAACTGTATTTAGAAATGATACAATATAATTAATGAAGCTATTATAATAATTACAAGTCTGAAAACGACCAATCGCCTGTAGATACTCTTAGTTTTATTTGTATATAACTTGAAGGTACTCTTTGTTGTTATCAGTAACATGTAAATCTACACATATTGTTGTTTATTTAATAGAAAATATTATTGGATAACAATTAAATATTACAAGTCTCTAAGAATCTCCGAATAAATAGAAAATATAACTTATGCCTAGAATGTTTTATTTGATACACTTTTTTCTTATTATCACGTATTTTTATTCTTAAATATAATATTTAAATACCTATTCATCTAGGTGTAAAGGAACTAGAACTATAAATTGGTTACTTAACTATGCAATTTTGTTGCTAGTAACTGAACTCGTTGAAATCTTTTGTTCGCACACTCACACTAATACGTCTAGTGACTTATTTAATGATACTTAACTAACACAAGGTTTTAAACAGGTATTAAGAAGTTAAATATAAAGAAAAACATGAGTGAACCTATTTGCCTTAGTATAATAAATGATTAAATCGTATGGTTCCTAAGCTAAAATAGTATTAGTAAAACATTTTACTATGTACTACCTACACATCGTATGCCTACCTACTTTATAATAAAAAAGTGAGAAATCAACTTGAAAGTGAATACTTTAAACTTGATTACTTAAAATTTGTTATTACAGCCGCTCGACTAAATTTCTTTTATTGTAGTTTTAGTACGGATCCCTAATAAAGTTTTTGCCTTGTTTTTCGGTGATAATGTAGCATTGTAATGCTGAAAAATTTTTTGAGATCTATCCAGTTATTTTTGAGTTTCAAAACATAAAAATCGTTCCTCTTTATAATATTATCAATGGATATTCTATTGAACTCCTGTAAAAACAGGTAATATCAAGGTCATATATACCTATACATAAATAAGCTCGAAACAAAAGGACAAAACATTTCAATAGCTAAAATAGTTTTGATAGAAGATTTTACATTTTTATAAATGTAAAAAGTGGGTATTAAATTTTTTCTTATTTCTACATTTTTTTTGTTACTTCTGGCAACAATATTGTATTGTAATATTTAAGTGAAAGAAATATAATTATCCTATTTATTTATTAATAAAAGATAAATTCATATAAAACACCTAACGCCCAACGTATCAATTCCTAGATGAAGCAATCACAAACATTATTTGTCTATTCGCTTCGTTGAATTTGTCCACATTTGAAACGAAAGTATAATAATACCTACCCAGTAATGTTCTATTTTGTAATATTCTATTATCTGTGGTGATAAGGAGCGGGCCAGGAATATATTGTGAATACCACATAATGTAACTTATTGGGAAATAACCCATCGAAGAGATTCCCACGGCAATGTCTATTGTTTGTTGCTCTACAATAAGTAAATTAATATACCTACTAAGTTGTATTGTAATTGTTCTACGTATTGAAGTATTATACTTGCCTAGATTAGAAATGATTTACTAAGAGTTCCCACGTAAAAATAAAGATTATAGCAATTCGCAGAAGGACCACTTTGAAGTACTTCGATACCTACGTAGGTTTACATTTTATATTTTTTTATTCTACACACATACTATAAAATGATTTACCTACATTACCAGAGCATTTTGTTAGTTATATTATATAATATTATGTTACCTGTGGTTATATATATTGTGATATCATAGTAATTTTGTCTTGATAAAGTCTTAAAATAAAATATCATCTATACTTTCTTCATGCATGTAAATAGATCTGTATTCTGTATTTAGGTACTAAGGCAGTTCATTGATTGCTTACAGTACCTTCACCTGTATGTTCAAGTACCTATATTGTTAACCAAAACCAAAGTTTTATATGGCATACATTTTCGTACTTACTGATATATTGAAAAATATATCAGTAAGTACGAAATTATTATTATTGTTGTACATCTAATTATCTGTAGAAGGAATGCAAATAATTTAGTAGCACTATATAATAAATTCGGAATTAAATAGATTCAGGTATGAGAAACTACTCTTACCTGATTTGACATGAGCCGTTCAGACGCAATATCGCCAATTTTACTGAACATGCTTAATCTACCTCTTGCATTAATTTGATTTGTTATTAGACTGGCTATCGACTTCCTATGACGGAAATCCATCGTATGATAGCCAGTCAAAATTATAAATTGTTTTTTTTTTAATTCTTCCGAACTCACGATATTTGGGGTTTTAATTTAAATTCCCATACATACTTAAATAAATAGGTATAAATTGGTTAAGGTTCATTTTCTGTAGTTTTTACGTGAAAGAGTAACGAACATCCATCCATACATCTATCCATACGTACTGACAAACCTTCGCATTTATAATATTGTAGTAAGTATAAACATATAGTACAGTAAAATCTACGTTTATATCTAGTATTCTCCTTTTGTGATTTTTGTAGATAAATTTGTCGGAATATAAATATACCTAAGGCGGAAGAACTGATCGATGATAAGCGCAAGATGTTAGGACAGCGTTGGCAAAAACATCCCACACCTGATAAAGGGATGTATTCAAATTCAATACAGACACAAGTGTTTATTGTAATACAACCTATCAATGAGATGGTCTGATAAAATTATTTCGTTTTCTCACGGTCTTATTATATGCAACTAGCTACTCGCCCCGGCTTCGCACCGGTGTACATGTATTATATTTATAAACCATCCTCTTGAATCACTCTATCTATTAAAAAAACCGCTTCAAAATCCGATGCGTAGTTTTAAAGATTTAAGCATACATAGGGACAGACAGCGACAGCGACTTTGTTTTATACTATGTAACGATAATGATGATAATGACTAAGTAATGAAGTGTACATATTAACTGGTAACCATTTTAATAAGATACTCACTTTGTATTAATAACGATAGGTCAACACTTATTAGCGATTATAAGGAAGGTATGAAGTACTAATAGAAAGCAGTAAAAGGATTTCTGCAGATTAATTGGCAATTTAAATTATTATTTTAATGTGGCTAATAGAAATAGGTAATAATTTTTGTTTCATACATCCACCATTTATAAACTTAATAGATATTATTTGTACGTTTATTTTTAAGTTTATTTTTTTTACGTAGTATCATATTACAGTACTCAAATTTAAAAAAGCGATATTATAAAAAAAATGTTTAAAAATTGAATTATAAAATTGTAGTTCACTACCCGATCACTTATGAAACTTAGTGTACGTCCTATTCTCAGACCTACTACATATAGGTACACACAAAGTTTGATAAGAATCGTTGAAGCCGTTTCGGAGGAGTTTTGTTTCGAATACTGTGACACTAGAATTTTATATATTAATAAAAATTAAACACCTATACTTACCTACTTTTGTAAAATGTTATCATCCTTTCTACACCAGTCTGTTAATAATTACGTGAGTAATGTTTTACTTATCGAATGTTTTCATATCCGTTTTTTTGTTTCATAATCTACGTGTTGAGCAGAGGTCACTCCAATCTTTATTTTTCAATGCATATTTGTTGCTGAGGTAGGTAATAAACCTTACGAAGACTAACACATATTTGTAATTACAATGCCTTATCGCTCGTTATCAGGCCCACAAAAGGATTAGTGGTGATTTATCGAGCCTGTAAACAGGTTGTAGGAACCTACAATGCGTCAACTTCCTGAGTGTAAAATGAATGTTGCCTTCCCATTGTGCGGGGTTTAAGAGATTAACCATAGATAATAATCATTGTACTCGCGTTTATGACTATGTTTTAATTCTCATTGTATTTTTATCAATGATGCTGAATAAAGAAAATATGATGTTCATATTCTTACTTAAATATAATACATTGAAAAGTTGGCTACTACAGCTTCACCTAGTAGATTTTTTATGTAAGGTAGGTCTGAGAAAATCTTGTTATGTTTGAATATTCCTTGCGGTCGCAACACAGAGATTCCATATCAATTTGCATTATATGTAAGCAATGGGTGAATCACATAACTTGAGTAACCGATAAGAATTATTGTTACGTGGGAAATCCGTATACAAACAAATTATACAACGATCCTACGCAAAAATAAGAGACCTCAAAAATGTAGCAGGGATGCTGAACTTAGATGATTAAAAATAGATGACACTTTGTTAGTATACATTGCGTAACAAATGGGGAAGGGAAAAATATCCATTCAAACTAAAATATTTATTAGCGATTGATAAAAATAAGTTGATTAAACAATTAAGTAAATATCTGGTAAATAGAAACAGATGGTATTTCTCGCCTATCCAATTTCCCCGAAAATGAAAAAGCAAATTTGCTAGCCCGATTGTTGATTAAAATAAAATAATTATTATTTCCATACTGGGCCATATTTACTTAGATACTAACTAATATTATAAAAGTACTATATCTGTCTATTATATAATGTAATATCCTACAGGTATACCTAAAAATATTTTTTTATTAAGTAGTTTGTATTTACTAACAACATATTCAAGAGTAAGAAACGAATCAAATTGTTTTATAATTTAATGAAATTTCATTATTGTATCGTGTTCTCTAGTTGACGTTGAAAAATTGACGCTTAATGGCTAGTTTGCTATAATCTAACCATGTGAACCGCATACACTTTGTGATTTGTCATTGAACCACTGTTATTGCCTTGTCATAATATACGTAAAACAGATCAACACTGATAGGTATGTAAATAAAGTAGCTAGGTGTGTCATTTTATCTTGTGAGTATTTAATTATGAAATTGTTCGCAATATAGCCTTGTACCTATGTCAATGTACAGTCAATTTCATAAAGATATATATTTTAAATGATAGAATTCAACCATTTATGTTATAATAATATCCCAAGACAATTTGCACAGCGCAATCTAGTCTACAAGCTAAGC